GCTCTGACCAATTTTTCCCATTTTCAAAATCAACCTGCGTGCAAAATCTTCCGACGTTTCTACCAAATTTGAAGTTTATATTTTCGTTTTTGCGACCAACAACACACATACGCACAAGCACGACTTACTCAATTCAACATCAGCTTTATAGGGTCTCTGAAGCTTCCTTTTGGATATTGCAAATCCGCTGGTGATTTGTATAATAATAGTCTCGAAACTAGCAAGGATGTACAATACGTCGCCATCCATCATTCATCCAAGGCCGACAAAAACGGTCGTAAAAACTATTCCGATCGAAAGTTTTTTGTTGTAATGACAAAAAGCAGAATGAGTATACCCCATTCTTCAGCGGTGAGTACAAAAATGGTTACTAAAAAATTCCATAAATATTAAAAATAATCGATCATACTTGATTTCGAAAGCGATTCTAAAATTATTCCGTCTATTACGTGACAATGAATAATTCCAAATAAAGAAAAACCACATGAAAAAAGAGCAATTATTTATCCTTCTATCGCAAATTACTGCTGTTGTCGGTACTCAGCTCGTTGCTCGTTTCCCGAACGGCACACGTATTAGGTGAACACTACCAAAGATTGGGCCAAATCTAAATATTACGAGTATTACGATTAAACTGTAAGAAATGCATTGCAGCGAGAATAGTCGAGCAGCTCTGGCACGGGTTGGTTTTTGCACCCAAAAGAAGATTGTCCTGCTATACATTTCGGTAACAATTTTTCAGAAATATTTTGGTTAATCGAAATTTATAGATAATGATATGAGAATAAATGTTCGATTCTTTTTCAAAGTTTTGTCGCTTTTCTTCATTACGTATCTTCTGTACGTATTGCGCATTTACGCAGCTCATACTAACTTTTTTTAAATTGGATTCTTCATCAATCAAGGCACGTTTTTGACTAATGTCAGTTTGCTATCTTCATTTTTGCGATTGCGCCATTTCGGGGAGCTTTGCGACCATCGACATCAAATTTAGAAAATTTTTAATGCAGATGCAACTCTTTGTCTATGTATATATGTTATGGCATGGTTTATTTATGAAACTTACTCTCTGAATTATAAATCAAACAATTTTTTACTTTTTGTCAAAGTCGTCTAATTGTTTTAAATCAAAATCCGTTGCAAGCAAATTCAAAATTTTTTTCGGTGTCAGAATATTTATTGATTGAGATCGTTGGAAATTACACAGAGCTATATATCCAATAATCCCGAAGACATATTTTTATATATCTACAAATAAATATATATACATATATATATATATATATACATATATATATATATATATATTTTATATTCAATTACATTTTATTATATACTTAACGTGTAATAGTGCATTTTATATTTGTTAAACGATTTTCTATGTTAAGCACTTGATGATATTAGAGATATACTTAAATTTCTATTTGATGCGTCAATTGCAAGTTCATACATTTTATCTACGTATTTGCATAAATATCGCGAATCAATTGGAGCCAATAGAACCGCCTATAGAGCAATTGGATTCTTAACAGTGGCTGTGCGTGCGTGTGTGTTGAGAAAGAATTGCAAAAAGGATAACATCACGATTGTCATAAGCAAAGCTCGACTTCGAAAGGAAGAAAGAAGAGGAAAAAAATTATGTCTCGTAAACGTGCTCTATTGGATGCCGAGATATCGGGTTCAGCTACGGATAGTTACGAAAATTATGTGTACTATCGTCCAGGTTGCTATTCTATACCACAAGTGGTTCGTCGTGCCACTCCATACACTTGTACTTACCTGCAACCATGGTATCCGTATTGCACGGCTGCCACCTACGTGGTTGATGATTACGGTCGAGTCTACTATCTGAGCGACTTTGAGCATCAATTACAGGTGCCTCGCCCTCCTTTGCCGTTGCAAACTGAGATCGTTTATCATTATTACAAGATCGATGATAATGTAGACAATCGGATTGTAACAGTCGAAGAAGAAGACGATGATGCCGTTAGTCCCAACAAACGCGAACGTTACGATGACTCCGATGACACTGAAGCGGGGGAAGAAATAGCGAACGCTTTGATAACTACAAGAACATTAAACACATCTGACAACAATCATGATCGTATTAAGAGAGGTTATCCTAACATTTATCGAGTTAAAGAGGGATATATAGTAGAAGAGCCTGCTGAAAATGATGGAAAATAACATCGAGGACCCTATGAAAATATACAACAACAGATCAATTTGTCTGGCGAATTATGTGCACTTAACTAAAACCATAAGAAAATAACAAAAAAAAGGACAAAAATGTATGTATCTATGATCAATTAAAATTCTCTCAATGTACAATAAAACTATAGACAAAACATATATCCGCACCGCACCGATTAATTGATGCAAACAGCATTTAGAAAAAACCATGCAAATAAAAATTTTTAAAACGAAGTTCACGAATTATGATTGTGTTGCTGCCTTTACTTTACAATGTTACGATATCATTTTACCTATATATAACAACAGAACGGTTATGAAAATATTCTAAAAAATGTACGATACTTGCGACTATTCTAAAAGAAAACAAATGTAAAACCTGCATACGCCCTATTTGATTCGATTCATTTTACGCGTGCACCAATTGTAGAAAAGTGCATTTTAAGTACATTGAGTACGTAAGCGGATGTAAGCGAAATCCCAAAGGATTAACAAAAAAGGGGCACCTGTTCGAATAGCTATCAATTCAAGATAATTTTCTTGAAATTAACTGTGTTAGGCCTATCTATCTATGATCAGTCTGCCTGTCTGTCTATCTCTCTGTCTGCGTCTCCCCCAGCCTGTCCGATTTCTATCCGTGTAGATCTAAAAAATGTTGATGTATATACGAAAAATTCGCGATTTTTAACGTATTTTAACCAAGTTTTATGCGCACTACAGTGTTTAGGCCCAATGACGAATGCTTTGAACCCTATTTTTCATATGACAAAAAAAAATTAATTTTTTAATAATTTATGGGGAAAATTGCCTCATAATAGCAAGTTGATAAATTTGGAGTCTACATGCCACTTGCCGTCCACACGTGCTTTATGACGAAAATTTGTGAGGAAAATATACTCAAAGGACATCAGTTAACGGCCTCGGACCTCTTCTGCATAAAGACTATCATGATAAGTGTGCCTTCACATGGACACAAGGTATAAGTTTAAGTATTTTATCAGAAAGATAAACAAAAATTTATTTCAAGTGAATTAGTGCAGAGTATTTAACAGACGAACTGTCCTATATATACTACGCTCTAATGTGTTTGTTTTCTTGTTGGATTTTTGCAACTTTGAGAATGAAAAGAAACAGACAAGCAAGTGGGAAAATTGTGACTCAATCGCTTCAATATCTCGTTATAGGATCTTAATATAAATTTATAAGCAGAATGATAATCACATTTTTAGCTCATGATATAAATAAAGGGAATTCTGTTTTCATTTTAAGTTTTGATTATAAACACATCTGGTATAAAATGTGCTTCTCTTTTAAACGATAATCATCATCCCCTCAGTTGTAGATATAAAAGTTATTTATGGTGAAAAATATCTGCGGCTTGCGTTGTGTTGTTTTTTTTTTTTTTTTACGTCTGTTTTTGTGTCCAGCAACAAAACGCTTGTTATCTACGAAGTCGATTGAAAAAATTATTATTTAAAGATTTTCCTAAATATTTATTTTTTCAACGTAACCTGTTTTAAATGAATTTATCACTTACACACTACACATCAATTATTGTTTGTGAACTTGTCTATCCGGCACCAATAACAATGAATTTTTGCTGTTTAACCTAATAATTGGAGCTTTAAAGTTAATTTCGGAAATTTAGTACGAAATCCCGTTTTGGTCCAATGCATTATTATATTGAAGATGGTCTGGACTTCCATAGAACTTGGTCTTGTTTGATATATATATGTATGTACATATATATAAAAAAACCGCCGCTATTCTGACTAGTTATCAATAAGAATCGATGGATGTACTAAATAAACGTGAAAAATTTGGATGAAAACATTTCATATTTTACACTCTTTAGCCATGTAATCTTACTTACAAAAAATAAGACCTAACGTAATGGCAACACTATTTTATGACAAAAATTGGCCAAGTATAGTTCTTTTTAGCTATAAACGAGCTATGATAAAAGTTTGATCACGTTGTTCCATTTTTCGCATAAGAGGGTTCTACCGAAAGTAAATTTTCATATGTTAACAGCATCTAGTTTGCGACGCGAATAGAGTCGAACGAAGCGTTTCGACCCAAAAATTGACTTAATAAATCTAAATTTGGACCATATGCGATTTACTTCTAAACCACCTCCTAAATAAACATCTCATGAAAAGTAACGAAAAAGAAATCGAAAGAATTGAAGAACACTGCTACCGAAGAATTGAGCTTGAATTATCAATGAAACAACAGTATGCTTCCCCAGTTAAATTTTTTCGTAAGCTCACCCCATCTCCGCAAAACAATCGAAGCTACATCTTTGCTATTACGCTGAGCAGTTATATGAAACAAAGGTAAATTCGATTCCCGTCCATTGAATAAAGCTGGTCAAGAGGTGTTCTTCGCGAACCTTAACGTAACACGATATATAGTTTAAAGATTTTCTATCTAATATATAATCATTTCAGATTACAAACGCACTTTTTGTATGGACCTCGTTTCTATGCTAAAATGTGCATGTCCAATAAATATATTTGTTTATTTAATATTAACAAGCTCATAGCGTAAACAAATGTTAACCGACGGTGCGGCTTACGCTTTATTAGGTGTTTCTCCTTTACTGTTTGTTCACTTGTTATTATTAAATATAAATAGAATCTCAAAAATGAAGAGCGATACACAAAGGCTAACAGCTTTATCATTGCATTCAGTTGGGTCTCTTAAACAGTACGGTGCGGTCGATAGAAGCGCCAATTAAATTATAACAAAATACAAGGAAATAAAAAATTGAACACAAAAAAAAAAAACGCATGAAAATGTTTTCAATAATCTTAAGATATTTTTAGAAAAAAAAGATGAATTTGTGAAATTCGTGTAAATAAATGAAAAGTAAATAAGAGTGATACATTAATGACGTGAGAAGAAACAAAGGAAGAAAAAAAAAAAAAAAAAACAAGAGCTTAAGTAGTAATAATAATGGTTAATATTGATTGTAAATCAAGACGAGGCACCAAAATTTCGGTGCTTATATTGGGCGGTGCTTTGTGTACGGTATTGATGGCATATTTTGTTTTCGGCGACACTAACGATGAAAGAGGTCTAAGGAATCTACGCATGATATCAATTGTAAGCCTACAACATTTAACTCCCGTTCAACATTCTACTCATTTTATACATACTCGATTTCATAACTAGTATTAAACATTTTAAGGTTTCGATTTGCAGAATTTTACATATAAAAATTTTTATTTCGAATTACACATTTTTTAAGTGAAACGTAACTTATATGTATAAAGCAAAACAAAGAAAATAAATAAAAGAAAATATGTGAAAAAAATGTTAAAAAAATGTCTTAATTCAATTAATTTTGTTATAAGCTTTTCAGACATGGTGAGAAAAATCCGAGTCAATTTTATCCAAATGATCCGCATATATCTCATGATTGGTCCGGAGGCGTGGGGGCTTTAACTCAGGTACTTGCCTTACAATATGAAGCAAAAGAAAACTTAAACTCATAATATTTTCAGAGAGGAAGTCTACAGGCTTATAATCTGGGTAAGAATCTACGAATGCGTTATTATCGTCTCTTGCCGCCGAACGGTCTATACACCCAACAGGAAGTAAGAGTGTTGAGTTCAGCTGCCGAACGATGTGTGATGAGCGCAAATTCTTTGCTCGCTGGTTTTATGCCGCCCTTAGAACACAATAATCCTTTGCCCATAGAATGGCAACCAGTAGCGGTTAACACTTTGAAACGATCTGAAGATACGGTAAAAATAGCTTGGTTTTGCTCTCCACGACCGTTCATTTGCGATCATTTTATCGTTTCAGCTATTGGCTCAGAAGAAACCTTGCTCGAAATATGATAATATTCTAGAAAAGCTCTATAAGTATCCACCGGCAGATTTGAAAAAAATTAATGAAGATAACGCCGCTTTATATGGCTTACTAAGCAAACATACCGGTCGGGTTAGTAAATATGGTAAAATGATAAAAAAAACATATTTTTTTTTTTAATTTAACACCTTAGTTTAGCGGAAACACCGTCACTTTGTGCACTCTTTCCAAGCAGTACAGTTAGACGCGATGCCTTCTATAGTGTTGCTTAAAAACATTTTTTTTTATACAAATTTTAAAAATTCTGAAAATTGACATAGAAATCTAAAATTGAACGTTTCTTCTTATGGAAGGAGGGTACGTTACGTATATCACGCGCGGACTTAATGCAGGTGCATCTTGCATTTTGTACGATTTAGAATCATGTTTTGCAGTATTTTAATGCTATCTATCCGTTTTATCAAACTAGGGAACTTACAACTCCCTTAATTATTGCAAACTTTAATAATAATTCTTTGTTAATTTTGATAAAACAATTTTAGAATGTCAGCTCGGTGCTAGATGTCGAATTATTATATAATACATTAAAAGGTGAGAGCGAAGCTGGACTTGCTTTGCCAGATTGGGCTGAGAATATACACCCGGAACGGTTAGAACCATTGGCCGAACGTAGTTATGTACTATTTACTGAGAGTAATCTAATGAAAAAAGTAAAAGGCGGTGCATTTCTAACGGAAATTCATACGAATATGATTGATAAGCGTCGGAGAAACTTAAATCCAGATCGAAAAATCTTTCTTTATTCAGGTCACGATATTACCCTAGTTAACGTAATGAATTCATTGGGTATCCTCGATCAAACAGCCAAATTGCCAGAATATTCCTCCGCCTTAGTATTCGAATTGCACCACAATTCCCTATTCACAGACGATTTCGAAGTTAAGGTCAGTATGAAAAACATCAAATTTTTGTAATTGGTTTATTTTTATATGATTTCTTTTCGCTTCATTTAATAGATCGTTTATTATTATAACAGCGACGATAAATTCCCCAAGGAATTGGATATACCTCATTGCGATGCCCCTTGTTGTTTAACAGATTTTAGTGCAACAATTGCTCATCTTTTAATCGATAATTATGACGAGACGTGTGAAAATCCTGTAAATAATTGTAAATAAATTGAGCAGAAAGAGAAGGAAAGAAAACCCAGAAGACTGGATGGCTGCGTTTAAAATAGGATTGATCTTACGATTTCTCAAATCGTTAGTTGCGTTATGCATTTCGAAATTTTACTGTCAAGGGGAAACGTCGGGCAAAATTGATGGCATCTCTAGGGTTTCACTGCAGAATTTTTAGCCTTGAAGTGAATGAATTTACAGCTAAACCATTAACTCTACTCCTTTTATGTAATTGCCGGGTCTGTTGAGCGCGCGATAATTGAATTATGCGAACACTCTGCCACATCAGTCTACCTATGCTTAAATTTTTTCATCAATCGCTCTCAACTGCGTTTCTGGATTATGGATCTAACATTAACTTAACTGGTCCAATCCATCTCTAAACAAACAAAAAAAAAAAAAAGAAAAGAATTATGACTAACGAGTGTTAAGGCACGTTCGCACAAACATATATCAAAGACAAACTGATGGACAGCTGCTATATTTCGTTCTATCCCATTCCTCATATAAATTACAAGGCAAAAGATTAAATAAAAAATTAAATTTAATTAGCTTTAAAAGTAACTTTCTTTGCAGAAGATAGCTTTGTTTTCTCTCTTAGCTTCTTCTTTTAGAACCATATTGAATTATTGACTTTTGTTGAATAAAACTGAACGCTGCAGTTCGCCTCTTTCCATTAAGACTAGGCGAATCTATGTGACTATTCCAAACAGAAGGACATAAATAGAATAAAACCCTCTCTCAGATTTATAGACAATTTAGTTTACATTATAAGCTCAAGAGGTTTTCTCTTTCCACTCCCATATCCACTCATTAATTACTGCAAAATATTTATGCAATTTGTAACTTATCAAGGCAGATTTTGTTTAGGAAAATGTGTATTTTTAAGAAAGTGCTTACATGTATCACTGCAGGCAACGTACTAAAGAGAAAGCCCTTTAGAGGAATAAATAAACTAAATTTTATGGAGGAATAATTATTTTATTTCGAGGACATTTGCACAAGTATTGATAGGACAAGTTATTTTAAAGGAAACAAAGAATTCCATAACTGAAGACGATCGGTGTAAATGCCACCAGATTTTAATTGTAGTTCGTCACCTATTTCTAAATACTTCTTGTCTTTCTCCGTATACAGGCACCAATCTATATCTTTTAAGTAAACGTCATTAGGATTATTAGGATCGCTAGAGAAACAAGAAAAAAAAAAACCAAGAGAATTTATATAATAAACTTGATATATACGAGGATACGTACGAATTTTTCGCAAATTCTGACCATAAGCGAGTTAGACGTTCAATGACATCATTCTCAGGATCGGTTTTCGTGAATAGCGGTGTCAAAACCGGCATATGTAAAAGATATAAAAGTTCATCATGATGCATAGCACCTGCAGCGAAATTTTAAACGTTTTTCTTTGCACTAAACTATACGAAAAAATGCATAAATTATGCTATACCGTATGTCTGATTGGTATCCGGATTTATAAAGAAACTGTAACGTCCTTTATAATTGAACATATAAGTGTAGACGGGTACATGCTTTAAAATCATATGCAAATATCTGTAATATTCGAAGCATATAAGGCCGTCACTGTACAGTTGACCGAATCTTTCCAAAGAATTTGGATAAACTAAAGGTTGATTTTCAAAATATTTCTTGCGAAAAGCTTCACTGGCTGTCAAAGATTTCTGGGTTTCACGTTCGTATAGGAAATAAATTGGGGCGTATGTACCGAAATCTGCATTAAAGCGCTCACGTTGAGTTTCATTACGTAAAGTGTCTGAAAGCAAAAGAGAAAAGTCAAAACTTTGCGGATGAGTAAAACCCCAATACAAATATCCTACGCCGTTTTGGCCACTACTATACACTAGTTAGGAAATTAGGGCAAATTAGGAATTCGTGGTCGTAGAAAAGTTTGGAAAAGTTTTGCATGAGAAGGGTGTTTAAAGCGTAAACCACGGCTAAAGTAATTTTCAACAATTTTTTGCATATTTTTTGTTATAAGATACCATAGATTACATCGTGGGCGGACATCAAGCGGAGAGAAATGCCTAAATCGATTTAGAAAATTATTAAGACTCGATAAGTATTATAAAAGAGCAACGAGTCGTCCCACTTCGTTGGCGATTTTACACAATTTCCAATACAATATATATATATAATATATATATATATATAATATATCCGTATCACAATTATTTCTCACTTCCATTTCAGTTCGACGCAACTACCGCGGACTATTTTCTATACTATATAAAATTATTTCTCACATGCTTTATACATTTCCCATATGGTGTATGGTATAGTGATCATATATCGGATAAATCCTTATTTCTGTTGCACTTACAAAAGGCTAAATAATAGAATTCGTATTCAGTGATTCCGATGATTAGGGGTACTTTATGAATATTTCCACTTTCCATAACTTTGTAGGGGTCATCGGCTATGAAGCGCTCTTGACCAAAATCAGGCTCTATCACTGGTACCCAGTTAAGTACCGGATTCCATTCAAATTCAAACATGTCCCTAATGGTATCAACATAATCCATAGTAGGTTTCTAGTGCGAAAAAATGGAATGAGAAAAAAGTTTTTGAAATGATTTTTGAAAAAACTCTATAAATCCCACCGCTTTTAAGCATTTCACCATATTTTTAATAGGCTTTTCTGGACAATTGAGTAAACGTGCTTGTTTTTCAGCCAAATTTAACTGATTATTTTGATAATTGAATTGGCCCAACGGTGAAGCGCTCATCATAATGGCACGATGGAATAAACCTTTAGACATGGGCGACATTATATGCAGACCAATGCTAAAGCTGCCGGCACTATAGCCCCACAAAGTAACTGAGTCGCAATCGCCACCAAACTTTCGTATATGTTGCTGGACCCAACGTAAAGCGATTACTTGATCCTTAAGTCCTGCGTTGCCGACAGCCTCAGCAGTGCCGGTGGCTAGAAAGCCTAACGAGCCCAATCGATAGTTTACTGTCACTAAAACTATATCGCGATCCATAAAACTTTGTGGTCCGGCTACACTTTTGCTTTGTGCCGAAAACGAGTAAAATCCGCCCGGATGCAGATACACAATAACTGGTTTTTTATCATTCAAATTCTTAGTGTAAACATTCAAACGTAAACAATCCTCAGATATTTCACTTGTTTCTGTTGTAAATTGAGGACATATCGGCCCGTCTGCCGTAGCATCATATACTAGAGGTTTCCATGCGTTCTGGGGTTGTGGAGGTTGAAAGCGTAAATCTCCTATGGGAGCTTGAGCATACCGTATGCCACGAAATGACCAAAATTTTTCACCTAATCGAGAAGTCATCTCAAGACCTTTAATTTTGCCCAAATCCGTGTTAACTTCAATTGTTGCTTGGCTCCGACATAATCCAGCCCAAAGCGATAAGACAAGCCAAGAGTACACCATTGTTTTATCAAAAAAGAAATAAGTTACAATTTGCGGTTTTTTTTTTTTCTTTTGGTACAAAATTTTTTTTTTAAGTATCACTGCTATGCGAACAACTTAAACGAATTATGAGCTAAATAATATTTGTTGATGTTATATATATATATATATATATTAAGAGAGCGTACGGGAAAGCACCTGTTTGCAATCGTTCTGATAAGAGTGTGCGAATGTGCAGCTAAAAGTTTTCAGAGTAAAGACATTTTTGATTAACTTGTACGGCTTTAATTTTTTGTGTTAAGATGATATGCCCGGAATCTTTCCCGCGCTACTCAGATCCCAAGTGTTTCGCTAATTAATCGTTGAAGCATACCGTCGTTAGGGTTTGGTTATAATTTCTGCTCCTATGTCCATCTTTTTAGGCAGCTTGAAACACAAAATAGTGTACTTGAACTACCGATTTATTCGCACATTAAAATCTCATTGCTTCGGAAATCCCCATTTTTAATTGAACTGAATATGTGTGCGTATATAGTAAATAAAGTGAATATACATCTGTCAATGCATCTGTTATAATAACTATGATAAGTCAACAAAGTTAAGTCGCTTTATAGAACGGCTAATAATAAACTATACATTTTCTTGAGGCGATATTTGTGTTTTTAAATAAATAAAATTTATCGATTTATCTTCTTGACAATAAGAAAAATATCTTATAAAATAAAAATGAACGCACATTTTCGTTTAGAATACAATTTAGCTCTTTAATATGTTGACAATCGATCCACCGACGTTGAGTTTTTTTTTTTTTTTTAATCTAATTAAACTTTTTTATATGATAAAAACTAAGAGCTGAACTTCGAAGATCTTCTGCACCAAAATTTCATTTTAATTTGAATAGCTTTTGAACTTAATTAATGTGTTGCCCAAGGGACCCTTCTTAACTTACGTGACAAAAAAGAAAGGCAAAAAGAAAGGCAAAAATTAATCTAAAATTTTGACTTGACTGAAAAGATATCAACTAATACCCACATTAAGCTTATAACGTTATTCTCTACCAAAATTTATATGTGCAATCTGTTAATATTTTTTCTAATAAAGCAAACGAAAAGTGAATTATGCTGCCATCTCCGCCGTATCAACAAGCAACAGCTTCTTTATAGACTTATCTGGTCCCTATTTCGTATATGCCTATATAAAAACCTGCATATCAGTAGATCTTCTCACATTTTTATACAAACTTGGAAAAATCACACTATTTTTAGGGGGCTTAGGCTGATATTACTCCTTAAGTGAATAGTCAATTCCTTACGTATTGCAAAACTCTGCACAGAAAACGTTCTTGAAAATCTTTTCTTCCAAACACTCGGTCACAATGGTGTGCGTAACGTAACTAATTTATCAGCTAAAAGCTATTCTAAGAAATAAGGCTAAATAACAAAGCTATCATAAAGAACCAAATGTAATCACAAGCAGACCCGTGCAAGGCACATAGGAAAGTTGCAATCACTTTAGGACGAATCTTTATAGTCATTATCTCAAAATACGAGAATTTTAAAATATTTTGTTAAATGCGGGTCATTCGGAATTAACTGGCCTTATATAGGAGCGTACCACAACTGTTATCGTCTCAAAACAACACATTGAAGAAATGATATATTTTACTAACTATGAACGTGTCATCTTTCTGATCGAAATCAACTGACCTTAGGGGTTTGCATAAATATTTCTCATTCATTATTTTACTTTTTTTGTTTAAGCATTCTAAGCATTCTATCCATCAAGTAATGCTCTAGAAGGCATAAGAGACGATAAACGCATTGACAGATGGACAGCTGAATAGAGAAACGTTTGGACGGAGGAAGCGAAAATGTGAAAATTTATATATTTTATAAAGCCTCTAATGGCTACTTCTGGATGACAGATTTCGTACAGTCCAAAGCCTACTTAAAATTAACATACCTCTTTGAAGAATTTGTTGGTTTTAGTAGATCATCTAAAGGTGGCATTATGCCTCTTATCTCTAACAGTTAATATTAGTTTGCCCGTATGTTTAATGAAAATACCTACGCACGTATTGTAAGTATTGGGCCATTTCATAAATAAAGCCGTTCATTGTTGCTTTACTTATACGTTTTGTTCGTCGATTTCATTCTTAATGCAAATTTGGAAGAGCTCTGTTCAAGTTCAACCGCGACGAAGCAATTGCGGGTCTATTTCACTTTGTGAGTTTAACTGAAGTACATAAACGCAATGTAAAGTTTATCAAACACTGCAGCATTACGTGAAAGAGGACGACCCAATGACAAAAATACTTCAAATATTTCAGTCCAGAAAACGAGTAATAAATTACTTGCAACAATAGAATGATGGGGCGAATCTAGAATTGCTATCGCGTCAGAAGTTTCAAAGCTTTATTCTTTTTCTCTTATCTTATGCTTTTCACTGGATCACTGTTACACAAGTGTCCTTTAAAAACTTCTATAAAATATTTCTGCTAAGTTTTCAATGGATATCTTACCGATGTAATAGTGAAACTCGAAAATTTACATTGCTTTAATTTCTTACAGCTTTTAACTTATAAATGTGTGTATTTGTACCAGCAACATAACCCTTTTCACATTCGATTTGCAGAGTTGCATTAAGAACATACAAATCAATCTTTCAGTGTTGCGACCGTCAAGGAGTCAACAATAACTAATGACTTGGACGGATGTGTCTAAATTGATTCACAATTTTATAAAGATCAAAAATACATGTTTAACTAATGATATAAACCATATCCTGTTTCCGCATGTTGCAAAGAGGCAAAAAGGATACACCAAAGGGCATCGATTAGGAATTTATGAACATTTGAATTAAAAGGCATTATGGTAATCAATCTACTCACTACAAAAGTTTCCTATAAGTAAACGAAATAATTTAATGGATTACCTGATATTTCTGATGGAATTCTAAGAAAAACTTTGGTTTTTTTTTTTAATCTGAACGTATGCTTTAAAATTCTATAAATAGTAAGAGAAATTAATTTCGATATTTAGTCCCATTTGATAACAGAGTGAATGTAGGTAGAGCTTTGAGGAGAAAAATTAAAGAGAAAAAAGTCTAATGATTCTTCTGAGCTCAATTTTGTTTGTACACTTTGCTTTGTTTTGCAAAGGTGAACAAACAATTCACATTGCCACCGATTTGGGTGAAATTAAAGGCGTTCAAATGACTTCACGATTAGGTGAACACTTTTGGGCTTTTCGTGGTATTCGTTATGCTAAGCCGCCAATAGGAGAATTGCGTTTTCAAAGTCCCCAACCAATTGAAGCCTGGAAATCGCAAATCTACGATGCTACGACGGATGGACCTGTATGTCCCCAAGGTTATGGCAGCATGGATCTTATTTCCGAGGATTGCTTACGTTTAAATGTCTATACACGAGACGTAAACGATTTAAAGCCAGTTTTGGTCTTTTTACATCCTGGTGGCTTCTATTCGGGATCAGGACGTAGTGATATTTTTGCGGGACCACAGAATTTAATGGATCGGGATATTGTCCTAGTTACACTAAATTATCGTTTGGGTTCTTTAGGATTTTTGGCTACTGGAACAGCTGATGCAACCGGTAATATGGGACTCAAAGATCAAGTCGTAGCTTTGCGTTGGGTTCAAAAACATATCGGAAAATTTGGTGGTGATTGTAGTTCAGTTACATTGTGGGGCTACAGTGCAGGCAGTTTCAGTACAGGCCTGCATATGATGTCACCTATGTCTAAAGGGTTATTTCAACGTGCCATCATGATGAGTTCTGCTCCTTTGGGTCAGTTTGATTTTAAAGATAATCAATTAGAATTGGCTCAGAAACAAGCTCAGCTATTAAATTGTCCCGAAAAGCCTATTAAAGATATGGTTGCATGCCTCAAAACCGTAAGTAAGCTTAGATATATATATTCATATACAGTTGTAATAGTAACTTTAGAAACCTACGACGGATTTTGTTAACACTGTTCGAGAAATGTTTGAATACGCTGGAAAGCCTATTTACAACTGGATGCCGGTAATAGAAACCGACTTTGGTCAGGAACGTTTCATAGCTGAAGACCCTTATAAAATCATGGAAAAAGGAGCTATAAACAAAGTGCCGTTAATCATTGGAATCACCGAATATGAATTCCACTACGTGGCCTATTGTATGTATTGTTCAATGCATCTACTTATGTATGCATGCATTTGGAAAAGAAATGTAACTAATTAGTAACGTTTTTAGACATTTTACGTAATGGTACTGAAAGGGTGCTCTTTAACAAAGATTTTGAGAAAGTAGCACCAATACATTTACTCTACGAAACCAATACAGAGAAATCGCGTCTAATTAGCAGAAAGCTTAAAGAGAAATATTTAAATAATCAATCGTTAGTTTTTCCTGACTCTGTTGAAAAATTTGGTCAACTTTATAGTGACGGTGTTATTGGTTACTCATATCATCGTTTTCTCGATATGGTGTCCAAACATATGCCAGTCTTCAGTTATTTGTTTACCTATAAAGGCCGTTACAGTCATTTTATAAATCCAAGCACAAATCAAACCGAAGGTAATATTTTTGTAGAACATTCAAACGAATAACTTTTCAAAGCCAAATATTTTTTAAAAATTTTCAGGTGCTATGCATCACGATGAACTTTTATATCTCTTCCATGTGCCAGTAAGAACGCCATTGTTTAGCAAAACTGATCATGAAAATAAGATTATCGAGCGGCTAACTCGCATGTGGACAGAATTTGCTAAAAGAGGGTAAATTAATTGTATTTCTAAGTTTCAATATACAAAAACGTTCATTTGTTTCGTGCTAGAAACCCTAACGATTCCAAAGACAGCTACCTGAAGAACTTTGAGTGGCCTACGTACACCGACAGTAAAAAGGAATATTTGGAAATCGGCGACAATCTAACGAAAATAAACGGTGGAATTTTTATGGATCGTTTCCAATTGTGGGATTCGTTGTTTCCTCTTAAATGAGTTGATGTTAATAAGAATTTTAGAAGTTTTCGGTTTTGAAGACAATTTTACTGAGACAACTCCACCTTGTTTAAATTAATATTAAGCTTTAAAAATTATTTTGTTGACGCATCAAGTGAAGTAATAAGATGAGAATAAGTTTGCCAAATTATAGCGCAACAATCAAATTAATAAACAAAACTTCATAATAAATTCATTTAGAAACAATGCAAACGACTACATTAAACTGCGGCTAATAATTCCGAAATGTTCTTAAGTAGGAAAGAGTCTGCATACACGATTCAAACTCAGTAAGTTTAGGTAAAAACTACCATTTGCAACTACCTTCCATCACATTATAACAAAAAGATAATCAATTTGGCTTTGTTGCAATATACATGTTTAAGTTCTATAAGAAATTTTGGGGCGGTGTTCAATCATCCACTTTTATCTTTATCGTATCTATTTTTGCTTTAAGGGAGCTTTTCCTAATGTTTTGTAGTCTTTCTATAATTTTGAAAATATATCTGATTCATTCTATAAGCAGGAATTGATTTATAAACACGAATATATTTGCCTTCATTGTGCATACGATTTTAAGATTTCTACAAACAGATATCAAGATTGGACATGGTTAGAACACTTAAGAGGAGCGTAGGAAGAGGCGCTAAAACTGTTTTCTACAATTAACTTTTCTACCCTATAAGTTACCAAGGAAGGGCTAAAGCGCAGTAATCTACTTTACCTGGAAAAAAATTACTTGCCAATTATATTTTTGAAATTTATTTGATATTTAAAAAGTTATCCTTGAAATATCGAATATTGACAAAAAGAAAATGAAAATTAGTTACTTTCTTGTTTATTTAATAATTTGAACCTTTATCTTCTGGATAGAGAAAGTATATTGGTACTTTGTGACCGTTCGGCATAACTACCCATTCAGTGTGTTTTATAAGACATATTCCAGCCAAGCCATAAAAGAACATTGGCAAACCTTTAAGATAAAATTATACGTTCACGTTAAATTATTTATTTTTTTTTTTCAATTTTACCTAAATTGACAATTTTGAGAAAATTAAAAAAAGTATTTTCGATTGTTAAGTCTTCCAGCTGTTTTTTGCTGCAGTGATATTTTATAAAAGGAAAACACGTGGCCCGCAAAATCTGATAATTTGTTCCAGATTCAAGTGTCCAATTGAAATTTGCCATACCCCATTGATCGTTCTTCACATCTTTTAACTACAAAATTGCTTTCATCGTGTAATGAATTTAGACTCAAAAAAGTTGGCAAGCACACACCATTACAAAATAAGAAGTCCAAGGAGGCTCATTGCATTGGGTTAAATAAGCTGTTAAAACTTCAGAAGCCTTAGGTCTTAGTAGGCAGCGGGTAAGTTTCATTTGTTTGTGTTTCTATGTAAGTAAAAATGTTAAGAATTACAACACGAATTGAAATAATTGCGAATTTATCTATATAAACAAAACAAAAAGAAGACAGACTGATTATCAGCTGTATTTGACTTATAGTGTTGGAAAGCGATATACTAATGAAATATTGGCATGCATTTTATGGAAATCGATGTGGTAATGGAATATGCATACTAAATGTGAACCATCCTTTTTTATACGTTTCAAACGATATTGATAATCACAAAAGCGCCAGTTTCTCTTTTTAATCGTAAATAATAATAATAAATAAAATATATATACACTTCGAACATTTTAAATTCTACGTATTGATAAATATCATTTATATATATATATTGATTTTTTCAGACTTTTGCAAGATGAATTTTTCCGTAAAAACGCTGAGTTTTATTCGCAACTTTTCAACGGCAATAAAAAATGTCAAGTCTTCGAAGCAGACAAATCTTTCCGTCATTGCTTCGAATAGATTCGATAGTATCAGTTATACAAATGAGCCGGTACTTCAATATAGGCCTCTTTCGAAAGAACAAATGGATTTGGAAAGGGCTTTGGTACAACTGCAAAGCGAATGCTCTGAAATTCCTATAATTGTGGGTGGAAAAACTTATAAAACCGAGAAGGAATGCTATCAAGTTTTACCCCATAAACATTGTCGCAAACTTGCTAAGTTCTATCATGCTGATGAAAAAATTTTACAAGAGGCCATCGAATCTGCCGTAGAAGCTCAAAGAAAATGGGACTTTACAAATTATAATACTCGTTTCAAAATTTGGGAAAAGGCAGCTAACCTGATGGCGACTAAATATCGGGCACTATTAGTAGCGGCCACAATGCTGGGTCAGTCCAAAACTGTTTTTCAAGCCGAAATAGACGCCGCTGCCGAGTTAATAGACTTTATACGCCTAAATGCACAATTTTGCAAGAAATTGCTTAATTACAGACCGACTAGTGTGGATATATTGATAACTCAAAATCATTTTCTTCTTCGTGGCTTAGGAGGTTTTGTGGCGGCTATTAGCCCATTTAACTTTACAGCGATCGGTGGAAATTTGGCTTATACACCCGCTCTTATGGGCAATGCCGTCTTATGGAAACCTGCTGACACAGCTATGCTATCCAGTTGGCTAATATTTAAAATTATGAGGGAAGCTGGTGTACCCGATGGTGTGGTTAATTTTGTACCTGCGGACGGGCCGACGTTCGGCAAAGCTGTAACGAGTTCCACGGAATTGGCCGGTATTAACTTTACCGGTTCTGTGCCAACTTTCAAAACGTTATGGAAAATGGTATCTGATAATTTGGACTCTTATAAGTATTTCCCCCGTTTGAGCGGAGAATGTGGTGGTAAAAATTTCCATTTCGTGCACCCTTCAGCTGATGTGGATACTGTTATCGCCGCTACGATACGCAGCGCTTTTGAGTACAGCGGCCAAAAGTGTTCGGCTTGCTCTCGCCTCTATGTACCTGCAAGTTTATGGGATTCTAAAATCAGAAAACCACTCTGTGAGAAGACCGATCATTTAATTTTAGGTGATGTCAGCGATTATAAAACATTTTTGGCGGCGGTTATAGACGAAAAAGCTTTCAAACGGATTTCGACGTATATAATTGCTGCAAAAAGCAACCCTCGATGCCATATTATAGCTGGAGGAAAAGTTTTCGACTCCTGTGGTTATTTTATTGAACCTACTATACTACTTTTATCAGATATCGATGATCCCTTACTGAAACAGGAAATATTTGGCCCAGTGCTAAGCGTCTATGTATATAAAGACGCAGACATGGAAAAAACCATTGATCTGCTAACCTCGAATACGCCGTACGCTTTAACCGGATCTGTGTTTGCAACTGACGAAACTTTTATAAAATCGTGTTTATGGAATTTCAGGCATGCAGTTGGCAATTTTTACATAAACGACAAATCGACAGGTGCTGTTGTGGGTCAGCAACCATTCGGTGGCGGTAAAATGTCAGGTACAAACGATAAACCCGGTTCTCCGTTTTACTTGCTGCGCTGGACTTCACCAATTTCGATCAAGGAAACGTTTGTGCCACAACACGATATTTATTACCCATACATGGCTATCCCTACTGAATAAATTTTCAAATTCTTTTGAAATCGTTTGTCAAATTTTGAATTACTTGTTGTTAAAATAAACACGGATTTAGTTAAATAATATTCTTTAAACGATCTGAAATATCAAATCCAAATTGTCAATTAAACAACCGGGCAGTTAAAGGTTCAAAATAGGGATATATCATGTATTCAATGGGAGGTTTTAGACGACGTGAAGCGATACTTTTATTCTTGAGTAATTTCTACGACAGCAACAGCTACTGGTTTTTTGGGTAGCTGTCAATAGCATACAAAAGTTCATTCTCAATCGATTTAAGCATATCTGTCCCTATGTTTATATTGTAACGTTATAATGTGGCTAATAGTAGCTTTATGCAGTCAATATATATTTGCAAAGCGTCCTTTAATAGAGACTACGCAGGATTCCCTATGGGTGTAGCCTACTTAGCTCGGCTTCAATGTGCCAAGTCTTCATTCCCGTTTATCTTGCCAAATTTATCGGCTAGAGGAGTCCCTGACTTAATATTTGCTATTGAAACGCAGCATATATTGTCCAGATCAAGAATGTATATCATTTGCCTTATTTATGCCTACTTTTAATTTAATTATTTTCTACTTGTCTACGCATAAAATTGCATAATGCTGCGATTAGAATAATTGAGAATGGGGGCGCTTAGCTGTAAATTGCATTCTTTGCATTGGTCTACAAGTTGGGTTATTATTGAGCAATACAATGCGAAGCGTGATGGAAAGTATTACTACTTTGTTGTTGTCATTTTGTTTACTATTATGATTTGTGACGCATATCTGCAACAATATGCAGCCACATTACAATATATTTCTGTATTCAACTTATTAAACTGAGAAAAAAAAAAAAACAAATTCGATTATGACAAATGCATGTAGGAAATGTACAAAGCGTAGAGCATTTATTGATCGTCATTGCACGACTATATTGTTTTCTAGTTACAAAATTGTTGCCAGGTTAAATTTCCATTAGGACAATTTCATCCGCCATTACGGATATCGAAACATATCTTTTTAAGCCAGCTCTTTTAAATTGTACTGATTCGTGAAAAGACGAAGTAGGGGTGATTTTATCCACATCTCACTTATTTATATGTACTATAAACGCTTAATAAGTGCATCTTTATCGCTGCGTTCCATAACAGCCTTTTGCTTAGTTTGGACTAGTTAGAGTAAATTCATTCGGAATTTCAGGCTTTGGAGACTTCGTAGAGTCTCCGTTCGATAGGCGTAGAGTTCGCCAAAAACAGACGATATTCAATTCATCAGAAAATTGTTTGAGACACCCTATATGGTCGAATAGATTTTGTAGTTTGGAAAATTGAAAACGTTGGGAAAAGTTTAACAGTGACTTCAGTTAATTTATGAAAACGTGAGAATTTATTTGAAAGAATTTTTATCTGATGTTCGACGCAATTGTATTAATTGCAATAAGTTTGCTTATAAAGACAACAGAGGAAATTGCCCCGATTGGAGGCGGACTTTATGATATATATAAAGAAAGATTATCAGATCTGCAGGATAATTATGCAAACAGTATGGAAGAACTGACAAGGGATAATAGTAAAAGATCGCTAAAGGGAAAATCCGGTAATCTATATGAAGAGTTTAAAAAGAGATTGGATCGTTTTAATGAGGCTTTAGCCATTTCTCTCGAGAATAAGGATGATAAGCGTGCCGTCCCGTCCAGCAGTCTCTATGATAAATTTAAGAGACGTTTATACGCGGCAAACGCCCTACCACCTGATAATGACGATGATGGATTAGGTGACGACTTTTTAAATCGCCAAAGTCGAGGATTTTTCAATTATTTTAGCAAAAAATTCGGCAAAGATCACATTTCAGCAAAGAGCAAAGAAAAACAATTTGAATCTTCAAAAGATTTTAAAGAGAGCATGCCTGTTGAAAATTACCAAACTACCGTACTAAACAATCGTGTGAACCCTTCCGATGAAATTCCTGGTAGCATGTATGATCGTTATCGACAGCAATTAAAGGAATGGAGCGGTAGTGCAATATTGAACAGAGAGCCAAGATCTGAAAAAAGTTTACAAGAAATTGAGCCCTTCTTCATATGGCAAGATGCAGACAAGGGTATGAATAAGATGGACGATTATAGCGTCGAAAATTTTATAGCGAAATGTAAGTACGAAAATCAAAAATTGAAAGCAACGAAGATCAAGAAACGTGATATTGAAGACGTAACATTGCGAAATGCCCTTAACAGAGGTAGGTTGCGATCTAAGAAGCATATTGAACTGGGCATCCCTTATGGCACAAATCACTGGTCTTTGTATCCTAAAGTTTTCGATATTAGTCCCCAATTAAGGGTTTTTGATAAGAGTAGCAGCACATTTTTGAAAGATTATGCTCAAAAATTGAATACAACTGCAACGGAGCTGGCCAAAAATATACTGAAAGTGAATTCGACTTACATAACCGAAAAACTAAAAGAAGCTCAAAAAAATAAAGGACCGAATATTATTGCCGCGCCATTTTCTTTTCATTTATATGACGCTTCACTACCAGGTAAGCATAGCTTAACTTTTCTCATTAGCTTGAAAAAGTGCAGACTAGGAAATAGGGATGTGATAGTGACTTAAAACGTTTATACGAATGAACCTTCTAGGTTGCTAGACAACCACATATAGTAATTCGGGATTGTTGCAGCTTTCCTTCCTAAAATTTTGCTAAGATCAAAATCGGTGTGTAACCTTTTATGAACCATGTAGTCCAGTTTTTGTTATCTTTTTTCAAATATGCTTTATTGAGCAACATTTTTTCATTCGTATCCTCGATCTCTGTATCCAAACATATTTCTTTCACACGTAGATGTACGGGGTGCATTCAATATAATAAATTATTGCGTAACGCCGGGAGATAATCGACTCCCCTAAATAAAAATTGCCTAAATTGATTCTCTTTTCACAGTTCTTCAAAACACGATAAAGAAAAACCCAACTCACGACTCATTGAGGACACCATCCATACCAGTAACACCGAGTGGATCAACCCGTATTGTAAACAATTTTGAATCAAGCCTTAATTATCTTGATTTAGAAGATTGATTGTATATTTTTTATGCGACAATATTTCCAGGACGTTTACGTCCCTTGAATTAAATAAAACCAATAAAGGACGAATTTACTTTGTTTTAATATCAATATATGTATATATGTATCTTTTGTCACATAAAGCTTGAGAAGAGATGCGGAAAATATAGGTCAATAGGCAAATGAAGAATCCACTTTTAATACTCACTATCCTAGTTTAATATATAACATAAAGGAAGATTATAATCGCCTCACGGCGGGAACGATTTCACATATGCGTTAGAATTACTCATTCATTTCTTAAATTTGGGCATGCCCGCATTACTCGTTTAGGCATTTGAGCTGCCTCTAATAACTATTCCTGCCAGTGTTTGTTGTTCTTATAGGCTATAAATTACAGAGTTTTCTTTATTGTGTGGATATATGGGTCCATAAAGTTGAAAAATTGTAATTATGCATATGGTGTATGTGGAGGGGGAACCATATTTATTTTGGGATCTTGTACACAAATGTAAACGAGCAGAGCATAGAGGAACGAGCAGAGCAGCTCACGCATCCGCTTTTAAAATTAATGAAAACATCTCTAGGATCTGCCTCAAACTGAGCTTGCTAATTGCTTTGAAGCAACAAGGTCTAAAGTCTTTCTGCGAAAGCATTATAATTCTCCATTTTAGGGAAGCTCATTAAAAAAGCTTTTTAAGTAAGCTTTCTTCCAGAACGGTCTAAATGAAAAACACATGATTCGAATATAAAATGTCAATAAAAAAGACTACCGGACTACAAGCTCGACATAAAATGTATATATATAAATAAGTAAATAATTTTTTATTTGGATATGCGTACATCATGAAATGTGCGAATATTTTTCTCACTCTACTGCTAATTGTTGCTCGACTAACTATGGCAAATGAAAAAGAATTAATCAAAGACAAAAAGACTAGAAAAGAAAAGCAGGCACATGTTCCATCGCCTGAAATGAGGTACGATGAGGTGGGACAAGTCGGGCCGTTACAAATGCTACACGAATATCGTCAAATGCAGCGATTGCAAAAAGCGCATGAAGAAAAACAACGATTGCAAGCAGAAAAAGAACAATTGGAAGAAGAAAAAGAACGATTGCTAGAAGCGCTACATAGACTGCAAATGCAAGAAGATGCAAAGGAAAAGTTAGTTAAAGCACAACATGAACAGCAGCAGACATATACGACGGAACATTACCTACAAGACGAGCAAATAGGTGCAAGCGCGAACAAATCGTTGCAACAGAAAAAAAAGCTACAACAACAAAGGCTGAAGATTAAACACAACCTTGAACAGTTGAAAAACCTTAAGGACAAACTAAAATTGCGAGAACGAAAAAGGCTGGAAGAAGAAAAAAAGCTACAAGAAAGGAAAAAATTGCAGGATCAAAGGCGGTTAGAAAAACTAAAAAAGATGCGTGAAAAACAAGTATTGGAAGCAAAAAAAAATAATGAGGAGCACATTCGTTGGATGCAGGAGAACATGAAGCAAGCGCAAAGGGTGGCGGAGTTGCGTAAGCAAAAGGATGAAGCGCAGCGAAAGTTACAAGAGCAGCTGAAGCAAAGAGAGCAGAAAAAATCGCAAGTGACGAAGAAAATAGAAGATCAGAAGAAGATACAAGACCGGTTAAAAATACAAGAACAACAACAGCTTCAAGAATTGCAAACTATTGACAAGATTTTGCAACAGCAAGAGCAACGAGAAAAAGAAAAACAAGACAAAGGAGTAAAGCAACAGAAGGAGACTGAAGAATATAGTTTGGGGCAACAAATCACAAACGCTCAGTTTAATCGTCAACAGCAAGAAGGGAATTTTAATGGAGCACAGAGCCAGAAACAACAAGAGATTAGAACGCAGTTAGAGCGCTTAAGCGGTCATCTTTACGATATATTTAAGAAACGTTTACAAGTTGTCGAACAAG